GGACAGCAGGTGTAAGGTGACTAACACACAGGTACCTATCTACTGCTAGGTGAACAGTGACAGCAGGTGTAAGGTGACTAACACACAGGTACCTATCTACTGCTAGGTGAACAGGGACAGCAGGTGTAAGGTGACTAACACACAGGTACCTATGTACTGCTAGGTGAACAGTCACAGCAGGTGTAAGGTGACTAACACACAGGTACCTATCTACTGCTAGGTGAACAGGGACAGAAGGTGTAAGGTGACTAACACACAGGTACCTATGTACTGCTAGGTGAACAGGGACAGCAGGTGTAAGGTGACTAACACACAGGTACCTATCTACTGCTAGGTGAACAGGGACAGCAGGTGTAAGGTGACTAACACACAGGTACCTATCTACTGCTAGGTGAACAGGGACAGCAGGAGTAAGGTGACTAACACACAGGTACCTATCTACTGCTAGGTGAACAGGGACAGCAGGTGTAAGGTGACTAACACCCAGGTACCTATCTACTGCTAGGTGAACAGGGACAGCAGGAGTAAGGTGACTAACACACAGGTACCTATCTACTGCTAGGTGAACAGGGACAGCAGGTGTAAGGTGACTAACACCCAGGTACCTATCTACTGCTAGGTGAACAGGGACAGCAGGAGTCTTAAGAAAACATCTAATATTTCCACCAGTAATGAGTATTGAAACATGGAACTCAGTGTGTGAGTTGAGTGCGCTACCAACCCAGCCACGGGTCACCTTACATACTAGTTTGGGAAGCCATAATGAACACAGGAACACCTAGAATGTATGGCGGGATTATTGATATCTTCCATCTGGTTACAGGAACCATTCCTTCATTCACCAGACATCCAAGAGAGAGAAATCTTACAGAAGTCAAGAGTCTGGTAGATTCAGGGAATTACTGCCTCTGCTGGACTCACATCAAGTATCTTCTAGTGTGTATATGGGGAAAAGGTCACTACTTTTCTTACACTCACTTAACACTTTACAAATAAGTAAAGGAGAGGAAGCTTGTGAAGACAAAATAAAGTGGTCTTTATTAGCCACGTCACTCACTGAGTCAGCATCTCACAAGTTCCCACAATCTAACCTAACAACACAGGAGTGACATGACCTACTTGTCTACCTGTCCTCATCTCAGTATATTATTCATCATGTCACTGTGTCACTCACACTTCACTCTCCCTGTATATGTACTGTCACTTTTAAATCTCTGGGTCTTAGAAGCGATCGAGACCCAGGGCCCCAAGCGTTTTCTAGGTCCCAGGGCCCAAGCGTTTTCTAGGTCCCAGGGCCCAAGTGTTTTCTAGGTCCCAGGCCCAAGCGTTTTTCTAGGTCCCAGGGCCCAAGCGTTTTCTAGGTCCCAGGGCCCAAGCGTTTTCTAGGTCCCAGGGCCCAAGCGTTTTCTAGGTCCCAGGGCCCAAGTGTTTTCTAGGTCCCAGGGCCCAAGCGTTTTCTAGGTCCCAGGACCTAAGCGTTTTCTAGGTCCCAGGGCCCAAGCGTTTTCTAGATCCCAGGGCCCAAGCGTTTTCTAGGTCCCAGGACCCAAGCGTTTTCTAGGTCCCAGGGCCCAAGTGTTTTCTAGGTCCCAGGGCCCAAGCGTTTTCTAGGTCCCAGGGCCCAAGTGTTTTCTAGGTCCCAGGGCCCAAGCGTTTTCTAGGTCCCAGGGCCCAAGTGTTTTCTAGGTCCCAGGGCCCAAGCGTTTTCTAGGTCCCAGGGCCTAAGCGTTTTCTAGGTCCCAGGGCCCAAGTGTTTTCTAGGTCCCAGGGCCCAAGCGTTTTCTAGGTCCCAGGGGGCAAGTGTTTTCTAGGTCCCAGGGCCCAAGCGTTTTCTAGGTCCCAGGGCGCAAGTATTTTCTAGGTCCCAGGGCCCAAGCGTTTTCTAGGTCCCAGGGCCCAAGTGTTTTCTAGGTCCCAGGGCCCAAGCGTTTTCTAGGTCCCAGGGCCCAAGTGTTTTCTAGGTCCCAGGGCCCAAGCGTTTTCTAGGTTCCAGGGCCCAAGCGTTTTCTAGGTCCCAGGGCCCAAGCGTTTTCTAGGTCCCAGGGCCCAAGCGTTTTCTAGGTCCCAGGGCCCAAGTGTTTTCTAGGTCCCAGGGCCTAAGCGTTTTCTAGGTCCCAGGGCCCAAGCGTTTTCTAGGTCCAGGGCCCAAGCGTTTTTAGGTCCCAGGGCCCAAGCGTTTTCTAGGTCCCAGGGCCCAAGCGTTTTCTAGGTCCCAGGGCCCAAGCGTTTTCTAGGTCCAGGCCCAAGCATTTTCTAGGTCTCAGGCCCAGCGTTTCTAGGTCCAGGGCCCAAGCTTTTCTAGGTCCAGGGCCCAAATGGTTTTCTAGGTCCCAGGACTCAAACGTTTTCTAGGTCTCAGGACCCAAACGTTTTCTAGGTCCCAGGACTCAAACGTTTTGTAGGTCCCAGGACTCAAACGTTTTCTAGGTCTCAGGACCCAAACGTTTTTCTAGGTCCCAGGACTCAAACGTTTCTAGTCCCAGGACTCAAACATTTTTCTAGGTCTCCAGGGACCCAACTTTTTCTAGGTCTCAGGGCCGAAACGTTTTCTAGGTCCCAGGACCCAAACGTTTTCTAGGTCCAAGGACTCAAACGTTTTCTAGGTCTCTGGACCCAAACGTTTTCTAGGTCCCAGGACTCAAACGTTTCTAGGTCCCAGGTCTCAAACATTTTCTAGGTCTCAGGATCCAAACGTTTCTAGGTCCCAGGACTCAAACGTTTCTAGGTCCCAGGTCTCAAACATTTTCTAGGTCTCAGGATCCAAACGTTTTCTAGGTCTCAGGACCCAAACGTTTTCTTGGTCCCAGGACCCAAACGTTTTTTAATATACCTGGAGTCTACCTAGAAGATATTCCGGGAATCAACGCCCCCGCGGCCCTGTCCATGACCAGGCCTCCCGTTGGATCAGGGTCTAATCAACGAGACTGTTATTGTAATAAAGTTGGTAGAATTACCGACAATATGTAAAGTAAAAGGACACAAGTGCAACTAATGTGACATTTATTGTGGCAACGTTTCGCTCTCCAGGAGCTTTATCAAGCTATTACAAACAATACATGGACACAGAGGGTATATAAAGGCTCAGAGTGAGGTGCAATACTAGTGAGGTACCATTTCGATGTTCACTAGTGGTAGTAGTAGTAGTAGTAGTAGTAGTAGTGGTAGTAGTAGTAGTAGTAGTGGTAGTGGTATTACTTTTGTCACTACCACTCTACTACTACTACTACTACTACTACTACTACTACTACTACCACTAGTGAACATCGAAATGGTACCTCACTAGTATTCACCTCACTCAGAGCCTTTATATACCCTCTGTGTCCATGTATTGTTTGTAATGGCTTGATAAAGCTCCTGGAGAGCGAAACGTTGCCACAATAAATGTCACATTAGTTGCACTTGAGACAGTTATTGCTGGCCCTGCGCAGTCCAACGTAAGAACCACGCCCCGGTGATCCGTCACTGACTTTATATATCTGCCAGCTCCATCTTGAAGACAACCAGAGGTCTATTTCCCTTATGGTTGGTGGGAGGCTGTTGAACAGTCTTGGGCTCCTGACACTTATTGTGGCGCTCCTACTTTTCACTGGGGGTATGTTGCATCGCCTGCCAAGTTTTTTGCTTTTGTAAGGAGTGATTTCTATGTGCAAATTAGGGACCAGTCCCTCCTGGATCTTCCAGGTGTAGATTATGATGTATCTCTCTCGCCTGCACTCCAGAGAGTGAAAGTCAAGTGCTTCCAGGCGCTCCCAGTAGTTAAGGTGTTTGATGGAACTTATATGTGCAGTTAAGGATCTCTGTACACTCTCTTGATCTACAATTTCACCTGTCTTGAATGTAGATGTTAACGTACAGCAGTATTCCAGCCTAGAGAGAACAAGTGATTTAAAAAGGATCATCACTGGCTTAGCATCTCTTGTCTTGAATGTTCTCATTATCCATCCTATCAGTTTCCTCGCTGATGTGATAGTGGCATTGTTGTGATCCTTGAAGGTGAGATCCTCAGACATTACCACTCCCAGGTCCTTCACATTACTTTTCTGCTCTATTGTGTAATTAGAGTTTGTAGTGTACTCAGTCCTAGTTATTATTTCCTCCAGTTTTCCATAACGGAGTAGTTGGAATTTGTCCTCATTGAACATCATATTGTTCTCTGTTGACCATTGGAAAACTTGGTTTATATCTTCTTGGAGATTTACCGTGTCCTCAATGGATGACACTCTCATGCAGATCCTAGTATCGTCTGCAAAGGATGATACAGTGCTATTGTTTACATCTCTGTCTATGTCAGACATGAGGATAAGGAACAGTCTGGGGGCGAGTACTGTGCCTTGTGGAACAGAGCTCTTCACTATGTCAGCTTCCGATTTAACTCTGTTTATCACTACTCTTTGTGTTCGATTTGTTAGATAGTTGAAGATCCATCTGCCCACTTTGAGAGTTATCGCTAGTGGTGGTTCATGTGTCTTCCTGAGCCATTGAGAGGTTTATATATCTCAGTGCATATACACTGGGAGATACACCTTTCAGTATAATTACACAAAAAGATACATCTCTCGGTGTATATGCACTGAAATATACACCTCTCAGTGTATATACACTGAAATTTACACCTCTCAGTATGTATACACAGAGACATTCACCTATTTGTGTATATATATACACACCTCTCAGCGTATATACCCTGAGATATAAACACCAATCATTGTATATACCCTGAGATATACACACCAATCATTGTATATACCCTGAGATATACACACCAATCATTGTATATACCTTGAGATATACACACCAATCATTGTATATACACTGAGATATAAACACCAATCATTGTATATACACTGAGATATACACACCAATCATTGTATATACACTGAGATATACACTTGTCTAAGAAATCCTCTGTATACTGTGTGTGTTTGTATACTTTAAGCTGTATATGTGTATACTGAGAGAATTTTACCATATAGTAATTTTTACCTTTCATATCTTAAAAGCTGTGGCTGTGACGGGTCTGTGGGTACCTGTCTGTGGCTGTGACGGGTCTGTGGGTACCTGTCTGTGGCTGTGACGGGTCTGTGGGTACCTGTCTGTGGCTGTGATATGTCTGTGGGTACCTGTCTGTGGCTGCGACACGTCTGTAGGCATCTGCCTGTGGTTGTGACATGTCTATGGGCACATGTCTGTGGCTGTGACTGGCCTGTGATGACTTGCTAGTGGTTATGGATACGTCTGTGAGGATCTCTGCCTATGGTGTCTGTTAATATAGACCAGCACCTATGAACTCGTCTGAGGAGGTAGGCATATGGGTGTGTGTATACCTTGGGGAAGATGCTACCCAAGCGAAGGGTCTTAAGAAGGCTTGCTCCAGTCATCTTATTTTTCGTCTTACTTAAGATCTACAGCATCACTGAGGTTGGAGATGATCTTCTGGGTAAGGATAATGAGATGTTGGGATATGCTCCTTCTTGGGACGTCTTGGATAAGGATGCTCGTCATTTATCCTTCGAAGATTTGCTACGAAATCCTGCTATAGTTTTAGATAAAGATGTGGGCACTGGAGTCCTTAAAGAAGACACAAAGATGAGAGCATCTAACCTTGACAGTATGAAACAAGAAGGTCGTCAGTTATCCAGGGTTCCTGCAGGATCCAAAAGTAGTGTGGATGACTCCATTATTCCGATGAGAAAGGATGTTTCTGGGAGAGCTCTGTGGATGCGAGTCTCAGATGACGTCTACACCTACAGTGCCTTTTGGGACTCTCGCAGCGGCCTACCTGATGGCCCAGTAGTCAGGGTACTGGGTATCATGAGGTACTGGAAGGAGCTGGTGAAGGAGGAACCAGGATACAAATGGAGTGGGGTCGTGAAAGAGGACAAGCTCAACATCTCCTGTTTTCTCTGGTATAAACACCAACAGAAGCCCAAACAGGGATCCTTGAAAGCATTTATCTTTGAAGAAGGCTTAAAGGAATTCGTGGGTACGTTCTTCCTCTGTTATCCACGACAAATAAAAGATGATTTACCGTTGAACGGTAACATCGCAAACCCTATTCCATACGCCATATCGTTCAGCAATAACAGTACAGTCGATACCACCCATAAGTTAGTTTACATAAAGGACACTGATAATACTACGACTGGGTCCTCTGAAGGGACCATCAGTGCTGTTTGTGTACGTCCTCTCCACGGCCCTTACACTGACCTCGTAACCATAACTCAATTCATCTCGTACTACAAGACAGTTCTACGAGTCACCTACTTCTACTTCTATGACTTAGCTGTCAGTGCTGAAGTCAGGGAGCTCTTGGGCCGCCTTTCAGAGGCTGTCAACATTGAGATACTAGCCTGGAACGTACCGTCAAATGACTGGCGGCAACTGTGGGATTTAGGCTCACTCACTGCTCTCAACGATTGTGTTTATCGAAGTTCATCTCGCCATAGTTACATAGCTATAGTAGACCTGGATGAGTTCATAGTACCCAGAGTACCTGCTACGAGCCTCGATGGGATCTACAGCAGTGTTTTAAAACACAAACGAGGCCAAATGGGTGATGCTGCCCTAATCCCTAACGCATTTTTTTGCCACGAATTCAGTGAAAATCTCAATGTGACCCGAGAAAACTTCCCAATTTTTGGGTTGACCCGGAGAGAGGCTCGTCTCTGGCCTCCGAAATCTCGCTCCAAAATGATTTTGACTCCATGGTCCATTGTGTCCGTGGGCCACCACATGGTCCACTCCTTCCTGGCCACAACCTCCAAGAACCGGCCATCACCCAAACAGGTCTCAGTTTTGCATCACTACCGGGAGTGTGTAGGCCTGAGGCTCGGGATTCATGCCACGGGCCGTCTGGTCCTGAACCAGGAGACACAGAAGGACGCCACTATTGTTAAGTACAAGAAAAATGTATACGTCCAAGGA